CTTCCCTTGGCTGAGTTCTCATACAACAACAGCTACCACGCGAGTATTGACCGACCACCATTCGAGATGTTGTACGAGCGGAGGTGCAGAACCCCGATATGTTGGGGTGAAGTTGGCCAGAGAGTTATGGAAAGCACCGAGGTGGTGCTCGAGACGACCGAGAGGATCCAGCAGGTTCGGAGCAGACTTCAGACTGCTGAGAGTCGGCAGAAAAGTTACGCCGACAAGCGTCGATCCGACTTGGAGTTCCAAGTTGGGGATATGGTTCTCCTGAAGGTTTCGCCTTGGAAAGGCGTCATTCAATTCAGGAAGCGGGGCAAATTGGGTCCGAGATTTATCGGATCATTCAGGGTGGTAGCCCGAGTGGGCAAAGTGGCGTATAGATTGGAGCTGCCAGTCGAGCTCAGCCAGATCCATAACACTTTCCATGTTTCTCAGTTGCGGAAGTGCCTAGTGGACGATTCAGTGGTAGTGTCGTTAGAGTATATTCAGGTTGATGACAACCTGAATTACATTGAGCGCCTAGTCGCAATCCTCGACAGGAAGTTGAGGGATTTGAGGAACAAGAGGGTGGAGCTAGTGAAGGTGCAATGGCAGCACCGCAGGGGTTCGGAATGGACTTGGGAGCCGATGGATGAGATGATGGAGCATTACCCCGAGCTGTTTCAGGATCGAGCAGCAGACTTCGAGGACGAAGTCTAAAATAAGTGGGGGAGATTGTAGCACCTGGTTCCTGGTATGTAAATCTTATTTAAGTATTTTCCATTTTTAGCCTTGGACTCGGCGAGTCATAGGTCCGACTCGCCGAGTAGGGACGAGACCCGGGACACGTTTATGATGGCGACTCGGCGAGTCCATATCCTGGACTCAGCGACTCACCGCTGTTGGATGAAACCCTAAGTTTCAGGGGTTTGCACCCTATTTAAACCTCCTATCCCCCCTTGCCAGCCCCCATTCACCCCCAGAGCTCCCAACCCCCGTTCTAAGCTTGTCCCTTGAGAGTTTGAGGCTATTGTGTGTGTTCTTGAAGGCTTTGAGGCAAGAAGGAGAAGTAGAACAAGAGGAAGGAGAGCCATCCAAGCATCATTGTGTTCTTTCAACAGTTTCATTGAGGTATACCCTATTTTCCCCTGTTTCTATGCTTAAGGTTTCATTTAAGACATTCTTGAGCCATTCCCCAAGCTAGTATGTGCATAATGTTTCGTAATAAGTTGTTTGGCCTCTAGATCTAGGCAAGATTGAGCTCCAGGAGCTCAGATCTGTTAGCTTTATGGACCCATGTGGCTTGTTCACCCTAGATCTACCCTTTTGAGGCATTGTGAACCCTAAAATCCATATTGGTGAATATCTACACGTAAAGTTGGAAACTTTACATGTGATTCGTGTCCTAGAAGCCCAGATCTGTGAATGGCATGGACTGGAATTGAACAAATTGGTGTAATTAATGGGTGCATGGAAACGACTCGGCGAGTCGTTCATGTGACTCGGCGAGTCTGCTCGCGAGTCTTCGAGTTGTCCCCTTTTTGCTGTATCGAGTTTGAGCAGTGAGTCACAGGGTGTGACTTAGTGAGTTGGAAGCTGAACTCACCCATGGTAGAACTCGGTGAGTCATGGCCTGGCTCGGCGAGTCCAAGGCAATCTTCATAGATCAAGAACAGACTCGGCGAGTCTAAGCATGAGTGTTCATCGGATGAAGATGAACTCGGCGAGTAGGATGAAGGACTTGAACATCAGTCTGGATGGAGAACTCGTCGAGTCAACGCCTAACTCGACGAGTAGGAACAGAACCCTGGATAGTCGTTTGGACATGGACTCGACGAGTTGGATAGCCAACTCGGCGAGTCGGGTCAACTGGAAGTTGACTCTGACTTTGACTTAGGGCATGGTCGGGAGGGAAAAGAGTCATTTCACCCAAAAAGGCAGTAAATAGTGATTGATTGAGTATGTGTGGGAATTACAGCCGGAGGATTCCCGGAGTAGCAGCAGCAACAGACAGTCGGTTCCCACACACACCAGCAGCCATTTCAAGGTGAGTTTCCTTTCAGTAGTAACGGATCTAAGGCACCAAGGCCGGCCCGTATAGACGAGATGTTAGTATTAGAGTGTGGGCCGAGCCCGTATCTCTTAATTGAGTGATTACGATATATGCTAGTGTGATAGAGCTGTCTATACTTGTTGTCTGTGTGATACTTGTATGATATGAGTTGGCGGTTGAGTGTGGGCTAGGCCCGTATCTCTCCGAGAGTGGAGTGTGGGCTAGGCCCGTATCTCCCAGATAGTGAAGTGTGGGCAGGGCCCGTATCTCCACGAGTGTGGGTGTGGCCCGTATCTTCCAGATAGCGAAGTGTGGGCAGGGCCCGTATCTTCACGAGTGTGGGCAGGGCCCGTATCTCATAGTTGAATGTTGTTTGGTATATGCTTGCATGGTATGAGGTATTTTGGGGGGAACTCACTAAGCCTTGTGCTTACGGTTTGCAGTTTGATTTCAGGTACCTCTTCAGCTAGGGGAAAGGAGCCGGCGCGGTAGCAACATATCACACATACGCCTTTTGTTTCCGCATTACAGATTTTCTGGGATGTACTCTGAATTCTGATTATGATGTCACCGGTTTTTCAGACATGGATTTTTATCATGAATGTTTGTAATGATATTTTACGTTTTCATCTAAATTAAAAATGAAATTTTTAACCGGTAAATAATTGGGCGTTACAAGTTGGTATCAGAGCCCTGGTTTGAGGGATTCGGACTCACCTTTGGGGGTGTCTGAACTCAAATCGAGAGATCAAAAGATTTAAAAAAAATGTTTTCTAAATGGAGAAAAGAGCTTAAGAAAGAACAAAGTGTGTGGGATATGCGCGACCGGCCGAGCTCAAGTAAGTATTCCCCAAAGTACCCATACAAGTTTATGTTATGTTTACCAGCTTTTGTAGAACAACATGCTAGAATAGGACTAAGGATCTAGGAGTGATGCCTTATGTGCCTGCTTTATGTGTTCCACCTATATGAGAATTGCATGCTAGTATAGAGTAGACAGCAGTAGGGTAGCCTGTTAGGGTGTGCCTGATAGTATGAGTTAGCACGGTGTGCTAGTTTAGTTTCTCTCAATGAGAGCGGAATTGCTTGAGGTTGTTTCCCTCGTCTGAATGCTGCTTGCTTCGTGCTACGTGGGACTCCGAATAATGGAAATTAGCCATTAGGCGAATACGTCTCATCACATGTGATCAGGGTTGAATGATCTTAGAGTACCGGATTTGATCCTACTGCGCAACTCTTGTTTGAGTCCAACCGTTGTAGGGGCGAGTCGGGTACTCGAAGGATTATCTGAGTCTCGACGCATGTGATGGTATTCGGGTGATGGCTAATTAGCATTACAAGGAGGCCTGCAGCAGCTGAGGACTGGATCGAGTAGAGCCGGAGATTTCCCTAGGGCGAGCCTGGGATGAGTATAGTGTTGGGTTTTGGTATAATACAACATCCTATGGTGCACATACAACCCTAAATACCTTGGATCTATGTTTTCACTAATTATACATGCAAATGGTTTCCAAGGCATTAAACCCTATAACTAGCATGCATTTGACATAAACCATATAATATACTAGTTAGGGAAACATACCTTTTATGTGGCTTGAAGTCTTGATGTATTTGTCCTTAAGAGCTTAGCACCAATAGTATGAAATGCCTCAAATGGAATCACAACACACCTAGGACAAAGGTGGCTCTTGAGAGAGAATTCCATGCACCAAAACACCTCTATCTTTCTCTAAGAAAAGAAGTAGTGATTTTGGCTATGGAGTAACCTATTTATATGTAGGATTCCAAGGGTCATGGGTATAACCCATAATCCATACCCATGGGTTTTATGATCCATGGTTCATGTGGCCCAACTATTTATGTATCCATACATAAACTTGGTCCAACATGGATCATAAGCCCAACACATATAAATATAACTAATTTTCATAATTAGTCCCCATAGATTTAATTATTCTCTTTTGATCACTAAATTAATTCCAAATTAGTTCTTGATCGATACTAATTAAAACATATGATTTCATATTAATATATTATAACTCATAATATATTAATAAACCATAAATAACATTCTCTCAAAAGTTCATCCTAACAAAAGTTCATCCTAACAAATTAAAACATATGATTTCATATTAATGTATTATTGAGTGTGAAATAGACTCGTTCCCTTTCAAGTATATGATGGTGTCGTTTAGGGCCAACATGTCTCTAAAAAAATTTGCAACCAATTATTGAGTGTGTGCCCTCACAATCTCACATGGTAATTGTTTTTTCTTTTCTCTTTCCTGGAAAGAGAATAATCCTAATTTTCATCAAAGTTGTCAGCAAAAAACTACAACGATCAAACTAATTTCCATAACAAGTAATTAGCCACTAATTTCCATAACAAGTAATTAGCCAATCAACAAGTACAATTTCCAAATTCCAATCATTATTTATTAATCAATCAAACCTCCAATTCCTTTTTTTTTCGTCCCTAAAAAAAGTGTAAATAATCCAATTAAAATAGCCTATTATGCGAAAGTCATAATAATTCACGAATTTAATTTATGCCATGTAAAGGTTATGAAATTTACATGTAAAGTTTAATGACCTATGCGAAATTCATTTGACCATGGCTTATCTTTATGTGGTACATCACTCACTTGTACAGTACAGATTATGATGCACATAGAAGAAGTAAGCATACTATGTTGGCGGCTGTATAAACAAGAAAACAGAAAATCGAAGAAATTTTCACGAATTCTTGGTTTCAATATATTAATTTCAAGAAACATACAACAAAAGGTGATTTAATATATATTCCGACTCATAATAATAATGATAATAAAACTCCCAAGATTTCACAAACAACAGACCCAATTCCCAATTATTCTTCACGATTCATACACGATTTTACGCAAGCTACAAGTCGAAATACAACAAAAGGAAAAAGGAACAGAATTCGTGATAGATTAGTAGCTGATTATGGACTGTTGTTGTTGTTGTTTGGAGGCGGAGAAGATCCACCTCCGTTGGGGTCTCCATCGCCGCCGTCGTTGTTATTGTCACCGGTGGTGGTGGTGGTGGTGTTCCTGATGAAAGCAAAGGTTTCGACTGTTTTGGTGGCGAATGAAGCGACAACACCAGAAATGTCGTTGTACACTTGAGATTTGATCTTTCCTCTTTTGATTGATGGAGCCATTGGGATATCAGAAATTGATCGGAATTCTAAAGCAAATGATGAATTTGGTGAAGGAGGAGTGAAAATAATGAGGAAGTGAGCATTCCGTACTTGTGGTGGGCTTACGGGTTATATAACATGTAAAAAAAGGCGTCAGTGGCCTTCATTATCAAATGTAGGGTTGATCGGATTTTTGGGATTTTTAATATAGTTTCGGGTGGTATTTTTCAATAATTTTTATTTTTTGGTTATTTGAAAATTCGAACAAGTTTTTGTTTAAAAATTGTCCAGGTGAATCAAATGTACAAAATGGAAGAGTATATATATATATATATATATATATATATATATATATATATATATATATATATATATAATATATATATATATATATATATATAAAACTCATTCATTTATTTATATATATAATCATCGATGGTGAAGGGGCATTTTAGTGGTAGGTCAGTGATTGTGGTAATGGTGATGATGGATTGATGGTGATGGCAGCGGCGGTAGTAGTAGTGGTAGGTCGGTAATTGTGATAGTTGTGGTGGTGGTGGGTGTGTATGTTTGTAAGGGTGTAGGTGTGGTGGGTTAAGGGTGGCATGAGAGTGGGTGTTTGTTTATATTTTAGAATTTTTTTGGAATTAAAAATATAGAAAACAATACTTATAATTTTTCTAAAATTTTGTAAGTTCTTTTTGGTTTTGGAAAACACAAATTTTTTATTTTTGAAAATTTTAAAAAAATTGTTGAATTAAACACATTTTCCAAAATTTTCATTTTTTTAGAAACTATTCAAACGGTTCAATTTTCTGTAAATAAACGCACCTAAATATCTTTGTATATGTTTCTATTTCAAAAATTAAAACCGCAAATATCTATAATGGTATGATGTTGCATGTTATCAACAAAACTAGTTAGCAGCCGAAAATTATAATTTTTATTGTTATAGATAGAAATTTTTAAAACATGTATTACCTCATTGATTTTTAAACAAGGGTTACTAAGTCAATTTATAAAATTACAATATAGTTTTTTTTTTTTTTTTTTTTTTTTTTTGTAATGTTATTTGAAATAGTTTTTGAATTTGAAAATTTTTGTTTTACCTAAAAGTTATAGGTTTCTACAGTCCGAAAAAAAAATCGAATTTCTTCTTAAAAATTAAAAACTAAAAATTCAAAAAAGTTGGGTGTACAAAGCTCCCATTGAACGAGATATGAAATTAGCAAAATTAGAGAAGTAAGACTAAAATTCGGTGATAGTAGATATGCATCATTTACCTTGCAATATAACTTTTGTTCTAATCACTTTTTACTTATTTGATCACTTTGAGTTTAAAAGATTCAAATAACTAGATATTGTTATAATACCGATATTCAGAGCATTAAACAATTAAATAATCGGATTTACAACATTCCCAAAACACCCCTTGAACCATCAAGATTTCATATCTTTATCTTGAAAATTTGTTAATTTTACAAAAAAATTATAATAAATAAATAAAATAGAGAGAGAGAGAGAGAGAGAGAGAGAGAGAGAGATGCTACCAATCTAAAAATATGAATTGATTTTTTTTTTCCTTTCCTAGAAAGACAATAATTCTTTTTTTTCATTATATTCTCATCCATATCCCGATAAAATTAATTAATTCACATATAAGATTACGATTTCCAATCATTAGTAAGTAGTTAACCAAAAACAATATTTTTTGTTCTTTCTAAATAACCATGATAACATGAATTGAACTTATGAACACAAATATTGATACCATAATAAATTAATAATACACCATGAAAAGATTATGCAATTTACATGTGAAGCTTGATGACCTATGAGAAAGTCATATGACCATGGTTTATTTGGCACACCACCCACTTGTACAGTACAATATATGATGCAGATAAAATTTTGGACCAAATCTAAGATGAAATCTTTGTTGACAGGTTAATTAAAGAAGAAACCAATAAAAATCTAATCTAAGATATCAATATATTAATTTCCAGAAACATAGAACAAACGTACAATGATCGAATCATCGAAGGACACGATGCAACTTAATTTATTGAATATCCTGATTCAACACCTTCTAGAATCACAGAATTTAAAATTAATTAAAAAAAAAAAAAAAAAAAAAAAAAAAAGAAAAAAAACCCACATCCTATTCCCAGTTATTCCTCACGATTCATACATAGTTTTACACAAGCTACAGGTTGAAATACAACCAATGGAAAAAACAAACTTAATACGTAATAGATCAGGGACTACCGGTGTTGTTTGGAGGAGGAGGAGATTCACCTCCGCCGTCGTCTCCATCGCTGCCATCGTTGTCGTTGTTGTTAGTGGTGATGACAGGGTTCTTCTTGATGAAACCAAGGGTTTCCACTATTTTGATGGCAATTGAAGCGACAATATCGGAAACCTCGTTGTACACTTGAGCTTTAATCTTTCCTCTTTTGACGGTTGGAGCCATTGGGATCAGGAATTGGTCGGAATTTGGTGATGGAGTAAGATTAATTGCTGACTGCCGAGTGAAATGCTGTTTGATCGGTAATTGGCTTCACAGTTCATACTTTATATAGTCGAAATGGGTACAAGTAACAAGTATGGTGGATCCAAAAAAAAAATCGACCCCTAATTCGGAATTCGGGTTCTTAAAACATTGACGGGTCGTGATATTTTCCATGTTTTAAATACTTTTTGAAAAATCAAATTATACGTTTTATGGTTTTTGTAAAAAAAATTGTTTTGGTCTTCAGATAAAAAATTCAAATAAGCTCTTTTGCTTGATTTTTTATTTTTTAACATTGAGATTTTTCCGTTTAAAAAAACCATAGTAATTTTTCTATTAATTTGGTTAAAATATTATGAATTTTTTTAAGATAAATATATATATATATATATATATATATATATATATATATATATATATATATATATATATATATATATATATATATATATATATATAGTCAAGATCAAATAAGAAGGAAATTTTTGGTAGGAAGGTAAGAAGTTTTTTTTCTACATATTTTTTTCGCGAACAAACAAAATGAATCATTAGATGATTCATTTGTAAGATGATTCACAAGAAAAAATTCTCAAAAAAAACATCTCGATGATTCATTTATACAATGATTTTGTTGTTATTCACTAAAATTATCATAAAAATGAATTTTTTCTTAATTTACTTAAAAATAAATCATAAAGATGTTTTTTTGGGAATTTTTTTTGTGAATCATCTTACAAATGAATCATCTAGTGATTCATTTATTTTGTTCATCAAAAAAATATATAGAAAAAAAATTCTTACCTTCCTACCAAAAAAAAATTTCTTACCGGATCTGTATATATATATATATATATATATATATATATATATATATATATATATATATATATATATATATATATATATATATATATATATATATATATAACTCATTCATTTATTTATATGTATCCTTGATTGGTTCCTTTTATGTACCATTAAAACGAGAATATATAATTTATGACAAAATTACAAGAATGTTTTATGGTATGTCAAAACTATCAAGTTTTGTCCAAACAAGTTTGAACTCGTAAGGTTGTCCAAAAGTTTCATTCTATTACGAGTTTAATCTAATTTGGTTTGAACTTTTTTATAAAGATGATTTTGCTTTATTATTTAATTTTCTAATTTTGTTTTATTACCAACAATTAAAAATAAAACAGAATAAAATACCCCGTTCTCTCTCTCTCTCTCTCTCTCTCACACACACACACACACTCTCTCTCTCTCTCTACACCTGCTAAAGTCTAGACCTAAAAAAACCTTGTTTTTCGTTTTTTTTTTCTACCTCCTTCTCCGCCGTCTCTTCCGGCACATGAGTTTTTCGGCGACGAGAAAGTTCTGGCAACTGATGTTTCCGAAGACAACCACCACGTTAACCATATCGCCTTCTTCTTCTTTCAAGATCCGTCATCGACGCCTGATGAAAACAGAAGGAATCGAGAACTCCTAAGTCATAAACCCTTCGTATTTCTCTTTTCTAGATGGAAAAATAAAAAACTAAATGAGACATTTGAAACATCTCAAAAATATGGTCCAAAATTTTCATTTTAAATCATTAATAAAAGACATAAGTATCATTCATCATATAAAAGTTATAATTATGTTTCTCAAAAATATCATAACATTTGTTAATATATCAAATCATACGTCAAAACATCGAGTGAATCCTCCCAAGCTAAAAGTTGTGGTATGTGCAATGCAGTTATCTTGAGCTCTTCCCCTTACTAGCGGAAGTACATGAAACCAAAATTGAAAACTGTAAGCACAAAGTTTAGTGAGTCTCCTCAAACTACCACATACCATACACATAATCACATAATCACATATAACATAAATTCGGATCCACCCTGCTATATCGGGCACTGCCCAACATCGGCCTTGTTCGACATCGGGCCCCGCTCAGCATCAGACCGAATCCGGCATCGGGCCTCGCCGGCATCAAAGCTCGGCATACATACGAGCATAACTACTAATACATATAACATGAGCATAACCACCTAATCATAGACATATAAACGTTCCTCGGGCCCCACCCGACATCGTATCAAAATCCGGAAAGCATACAAACATTCCTCGGGAACCGCCCCGACATCGGACCGTAGTCCACAAAGACATCAAGCATACTAACATTCTTCGGGTACCACCCCAGTATTGGGTCAAAACCTAGAAAACATAAAAATTACATCAGGCTAACACTAACATCAGACCGAAGTCCGGCATACGCTATTATACATAAACGAGCCGGCATTGGTGCCTTCGACCCGTTCCTACTGGAGGAAAACTCACCTTAATTGTCGAGTGAAATAGTTGAACGTCCCTGCTCCCGCAACTGGCTCTACTCACGCCCTATACAAAACAACCCCTTAGATACCATTCCTTACTTCAAGACCCCTTCACGAGTCAACATTGGTCAAAGTTAATGTCCAAGTCAAAGTCAACACTCAATCTAAGTCAAAGTCAACAATCCGAGTTGACTCAACTCATCGAGTCATCCCCCGGACTTGTCGAGTCCCCTTGCTACTCATAGTCATGATAACACGATCCAACTTGTCGAGTCCCTTCACAGACTTGTCGAGTTCTACCTTGTACAGAATCGGGACAAATCGACTCAACTCGTCAAGTCTCTCTCTGGACTCGCTGAGTTCCTTAGTCTGTTTGGGCCATCTTAATAGATTAAGCCCCAACTCTTCAGATCTAAGCTTCATACTCCTCATATACCCTGAAAATGTCCTTTTAAGGGTAAATTTTCCAACTTTACCCATTAATACCTTTCCTCTATGGGGTTATCTCAAACCCTAACTCCTTAGGACCTAGATCTTGGTCCACAAGCCATCCACACTCAAAACTAAAGCCTACAAATAGAGATCTAGACCCTAAACACTACATAGACATGTAAAGCTTCCACCTTTCACTCCAAGCATGGCCTTTTGGAGCTTAAAAGGCCAAAATGGCATCCTATGGCTTGCATGGGGCCTCAATGGCCATAAAGTTTGCACCTTTATGCCATGAAATCCCTCTATAATCCCAGGTCTGAAGGTATACTAACTTGGTACATTCAACTCCCAAAGATCAAGCTTCTTGAACCAAATACCCAAAAAAAGATCAAGCTTCTTGAACCAAATACCCAAAAAAGTGAAAATAAGGAGATCTAAGAAACTACTAAGTAATTTAGAGACTTGATTACCAAAAAATGATGAGGATGAAAGGAAGTCTTTGGATCTACTATCTTCTCCTTGAATCTTTTAGCTTATTCTTCTTCCACAAGCTTCAAGACACACAAAGATCACTTAAAATGGCTCACAAGCTCATAAATGCATTAGGGTTTCTGAAACTAGGGTTTGGGACTTGGAGGCGGGAAATGAGGCCAGCACGTGGGGATTAGGATGCTTAAATAGGGTGCGAAAACCTTAAATTAGGGTTTCATCCTGGCAGCCCTACTAATCGAGTTGAGGCTCTCAACTCATCGAGTAGGTGACTTAAAATCCCGCATCCATTATGGTTTCCACTCAACGAGTTTGGGGCACCTAACTCGTCGAGTAGCTCTGTCACACCCCCGAACCGGAACGGCAGAAACGTTTGGGGGCGAATGACTTCATCTTGTAATATCATAACAAGTGTATGTAAATGAAACATAGTCAATTATCATCACCATACATAAAATATAACATGATGTGTGTAAAACCAACTAGTTTTAATCCTACTAACTTAAACACAAAGACAAACACACGAAAGGCAGTGTACCTATCGATTAGCAGTTTAGTTCAGGTAAGTAGGGTATCGAACACAGGGAACAGTAAACAATTAAAATAGATGCTAATATTATCTAAATAAAACAAGTAATAGAAAGGGGGTTTCTATAGTTTTGCAAGACTAGAAACTTAAATGCTTTACTAACATGCAAACTAAGCAACTAATAGCTAAGAAAACAAAGATCAACTAAATTCAATGATTAAAAAGGACTTCTGTTTAGGTTCGAATCATTTGTTCCCATGGATGATTTTATGGTAAATATATCGGATTAATTCTTCATTGGTTACCGACTAAAGTGATTAGATTCACATTCGCTATAGCTAATCCTTAGAAAACATATTAATTCAAGCAATGGCCAGTTGTCTAAATTATTGAATTTCCTAGTTTGTTGATTCGGGTTTAGAAAGACTTGTAATTAGCTAATCAAATTGGTGATTCAATTAACCTCTTGTTGATGGTGTATCACACAAGCTCACATATTAACTTACCTATCTTCAAGTTAATTCTAGTTTCACATTCGTTATTCCTAGACATACAACTATGTGGTCACGTAAATCATATGAAATTAGCAATTAAGAGATGTTCATACAACTTAATTACTGATTTATTAACAGAAGAATAGTTATTGTTAACACATAAGGTTCTTTAACAAGCTTAATAAAACATAATCACCAATTAAAATTAATCCTAATCAAATAATCAATCCATGTTCACAAATTCATCTACCTAAATAGAAGTTATGGGTTTTTAGCTCATGATTACAGCAGAAACAAGCACAAAAACGAAATCAATTGGTAAAAACATAGTTCAAACAAGAGATTAGGTAAGAGTAAACTTCATTTTGACTTGATTCTCCTTAAAATTGAATGTAGGGTTGATTCCCTTGCTTCCCACGCTCCAACAGCACCTTTAGTCGACAATTGACCTGCAAGGGTTCATCTATATGCTAGGGTATCGATCTGAAAGTTCCTTTATATAGATTTTCACAAAACAGAGGCTACTCGGCGAGTCCATCACTTAAAACCCGTGTGCGGCAAGTCAGCGCGTCCAGAATCGCGAAACTTCTGACCAACTCGGCGAGTAATCGACCCTACTCGCCGAGTACGTTTGGAATCAGCATTTTCTCAAAACACGAAAGTCGTCCGAAATTGTGTCTACTTTTCAGAACA